CCAGCCCCCCAATAAACATAAACCCGAAAGCCCCCGCCGCGGCTCTGCGGTCGTGTCACGAACGGCTCCTCCTCGACGGCCCCCTGGAGATCTCCGGCCGAAGTCTCGGGGCTGGGCCGGGAGGCGGCGTGGCCTTGGCCTGGGCATCTCGCCCGCCCAGCGGACCCCGACTCCTGGAGCAAACCCGCCGCGCGCGCCGGAAGTCCCCGCTGGGTCGGCCAGGGTGGCGGGAAGAGCCAGTCCGCCCGCCCGAGGAGCTCACGTTTCCGCGAGGACCAGACAGTAATGCGAAGGTTCGAGGGGTGGGCGAGCAAGAGCGTTTGGAGAGCGTGGGGCCCAGCCAGGAGGGGCAGGGCTCTGGACCAGTGAGCACGTCGATGCCAACCCCCCACCCCTTCCCCGCATATAATAAACAACGTAGTTATCGCACGGCTTCCGCGCCGGCGCTGGGCCATGCAGCCTCATCGCTCTCAAGTTATCGTAGATGTCCAGCAACGTGGACATCGTTCTGTTTGCGTTTGCAGAGCGTTGGGCCCAAAACAGTCACCCCGTACGAGTTTGCGGCAACTTGAGCAACTGTTGACAGGCATCTTTGTTTAGCAGACCCCGTGTGTGATCAGCCTTTCTACAGGACGTATCTGTTCACAAGATGCATTTTGCCGCGGAAGTTTTGTTGCCAACAAAACGTGCAGTTCTATTAAAATGCTATTAAAAAACCCCCAAACTCACACAACCACTTTATGGTAGCATCTCCTTTAAAGGCAATGCAGTTGTCGTGAAGCCGAATGAACGAGGCTTGGCTCTTTATTTTTTCTAGTTCTTCTCGGGTCATGTTTGAGCTGACCTGTGAGCAGTTGTGCTGTGTTACCAGTAGGTGGTAGTGTCTTCTGAAAATACCTTTTTCACAAGTCATCCCACTTGTTTACAGGGAATTTCCAACTGTATTTTTTTCACTGATCAGAGTGTAGAGCTTTACTTGCTCACTTTACACCCCTCCCCCAAGGTAGTGTTTACAAATTGAAATGAAGATGAACAATCTGTTAAAAAGCTGCTGGACACACATGAAAACGGCGCACAAAAACATTTTCAGTAAAAATGCCTAGGCAACAGCTGTAAATGTAAACAGAAAACCCCAAGCTGACTCGCAGTGCAGCATGGCATCCCCTGCAGGGGTCCATGGGCATTCTGGGAAATAATGGCACAAAGAGGTCTTGCTGACAGCATGGCTCTTTGGAGAAAGGCTGCCCTTCTCCAGCCAAAGTAACATTCTTAGCACCAATAGCTTTTGATAGATAATTAACCGTTTTGGCGAATTGGAGCTCAAAGAAATGATCATTTACTGCGGAGTTTACAGTAA